GTGGAACAGACATAATAACCTTTGTCTGTAGGCAATCTGCACAGCTGGGAAAGATAATTAAATAGGCTCATTTGAGAGATCTACAACATTTCAATAGAGAGACCTAGCAATCCTGCTGGCCTTCCATTGAAAACTATTACTAACAGACATCCCTCAGACCCATTTCATAATCACCATACTTACATGGTACAAAGGATTAGGGGGAGCTTGTTCGGCTCCCAAAAGACCACTAAAACTGTCACACCTAAACAACACTGGAATTCTAAAGAGAGAATTAAAATGTGTGATTCCCATTTAAATATAAAGTTGCCATCAGAAAGCAGGCCTTTGGTTTTCCCAAGTTGATTGGTTACATGACCAACTGCAATTCTGAGAACTTGGGAGTCAGTCCCCAAGACCATCCTTTATAATTTTCTGAGGCTTATGTAAGGAATTTAATATTACAGGGTAAATTCTTCATGGGTAAACATATCACGTGATACCGTTTTTGTGTACACAAAATAGTGAATGTCGTGAGAAGACAGAAAAAGACTTGCTTTTAAATGTTAACCTTTCTAGGCTGAGGATGTAGCTCAGTTGGTAGAGTGCTTGCCTTGCAGGCAGAAGGCCCTGGGTTCAATCCCCAGCACCACACACATACACAAAAAAAGTTAACATTTCTGAAAGTGAGTTTAACTTATAGGGTAGGTTTATTTCACTATTAGGAAACTTTATTCAGAGAGTTGAGGGACACATTTCATTTTATGTTCTTCCCCTGGGTTTGGTTTTTCCTATTAGACCAGAAGAAAGAGAAGCATTTATTGTTGAGCCAAGTGATGTCTCCTCTGGAGAAAGCCGGGTCCTTTTTGACCCAGGGCACTAGGTGAACATCGACGTATTGCAGATATTTATGTTCCTTTTTCCCCCAGGCAGGTCTGAAACCAAAAAAATAGCTTTTTAGTTTTCAAGATTTTCTTATGATCAATGCCACCCATTTCCTCATTTTTCCAGATACCAGTCTGTGTCACCTGAGTGGAATCCATTCTTTCCAGTTGAAAGGTACCTGCCCTGAGGGCTATGCTATTATGAGCCCTGGATGGCTGTGTGATGTCCTGGAAGTCGCAATAAATTTGAGCTTTAAAAAAAGTGGGCTTTGAGAGATCATCCATTTTGTGGCTCTAATACGTACATAGTCTAGTGGGTCCTACAGATATGTGAATAATTGACGTGAATACGGTGTGACGAAATGGTCTGGTAGAAAACATGGGATGCTCAATATGATTAGGAAAATGCAAATCAAACCACAATGTCATTGTTATACCTTTATATCTATTAGAATGTCTAAAATGAAAAAGACCGACCACATTGATACGGGCAAGGATGCGGAACACCTGCTGTTCTCATCCATTGCTGGTGGGTATGTAAAGTGGTACGACCACTTTTGAAAACTGTATGGCAGTTTCTAAGAAGCACTGCACACTTAAATATCTAACCAAGAGCAATGGAAGTATATGTCCATACCAAAACTGATACATAAATTGCTCATAACAGTTTTACTTGTAATAACTCAAATCTGAAAACAATCGAAATGCCCAATGATAGGATAAATGTGTACTTAGTGATTCAATAATCCACACCACGAGAGAAGGAATCAACTATCCATACAAGCAACATCATGATTAAGTATTAGAGTAATAGGGAAGTCATACAAAAAGGTAAGAGGTGGTAAGAGGTGATTAGGAATTGACTTTGTTAACTGTAGGAACAGAGAGGAGAGGAAGACTAATGGATTAGGTTTGATGATGAGATGATGGCAAGAAAGGGGACATAGGTTGTGAGGTTTGTTTCAGGCTTAAATGTCTGTATCTGGATCTCCCTTATTTGGTGATGAAGATTGAGTGCTATACAATGTGTAGGCATGTACAAATATGAGCTAATTATTTAAGGCTGAGCTGTGGATAACACCAAGACCCTCAAGAAGAAATATCCATTAGGCAGATCATTTATACTTGACTAATTAAGGAAATCATCTTACATTTTGACTTTTCAATTAATACAATATTAGATTGCTAATTGAATTAGAAATAGCAAGAAAAAAAGAGAACATTAAAAAAAGATTTATATAGCCATTCTCATGGGTAAGTGGGAACAGAGCAGAGGGTAAGGAGCAAGAAGAAGGAAATACACTGTGCCCCTGGGACAAAGAACAGGAAGCTGATCTGAAAACCAAAAAAACTTTATGAACAGCATCTTCATTTAATTTCCCTGTCACTAATTTATCCTTATGTGTGTGGTTAGATTTACTTGGTCATTCAATTCAAATTCTATAATTAAGGAAAGCTCAGAAGAGGTCATGTTAATTGTGGTCAAGGGCACAAGCACTGGAGATTACATTCCCATCTAGGAGTATCTGTTTTCTTATTTTGTAAATAGGTGTCACTTCCCACCTCTTCTGGATATTGTGTTAATAAAAATGAGAAGAACCAAGTACAGGAAGCACTTGGCACTGCCTCTAACTTATAGTAAGGCACTCGTAAGCTGGTCTTTCTTTCTTCCTCTTCTTCTTCCCTCCATTTTCTTCTCCTTTGCCACCTTCTTATCTTTGTTTTTCCTCCTCTTCCTTATTGTTATATTTTGAGCATCCAGCATTTGTCATTAATGACTGGAAAAAGCTTTAATATCCTAATCAACAATTTGGAAAAAGGGCACATTTTAATGTTTGTTTTTTTTTTTTTACCAAAAGTAATCATAATGTCACCTTTAATCATCTGTTTCATTCTCCCAAGTGACTTACTTACATGTTATTTCTTGAGTTTTCAACAGATTATGAAAGAAGATCATATGATATGATCTTTTAAATATGAAGAAAAAAATAGATTTTTAATGACTTTGGTCCTACCTGAGTGCCAGTTTCTGTATGGTATAAGACAAGTAATTTAAATTTCTTGCACCTTAGTATTTTCAACGAAGCACAAATGAATAGCAGCCAAATAGGGCTATTGAGTCATAAGTAAAATAAAATACCTGGGAATCAATCTAACAAAAGAGGTGAAAGACCTCTACAATTAAAACTACAGAACACTAAAGAAAGAAATTGAAGAAAACCTCAGAAGATGGAAAGATCTCCCATGTTCCGGGATAGGCAGAATTAATATTGTCCAAATGGCCATACTACCAAAAGTGTTATACAGATTTAGTGCAATTCTTATTAAAATCTCAAGAACATTCTTCATAGAAACAGAAAAAGCAATCATAAAATTTATTTGGAAAAGTAAGAGACTCAGAATAGCAATCCTTAGCAAGAAAAGTGAAGCAGGAGGCATCACAATACCAGATCTTAAACTGTAGTAACAAAAGTAGCATGGTATTGGCACCAAAATAGAACTTGTAGACCAATGGTTCAGAATAGAATTTTGGTTATGTCATACTAGACATAAATATGGTTATGTCATACTAGACAAAGGTGCCAGAAACATTCACTGGAGAAAAGATCGCCTATTCAACAAATAATGCTGGCAAAACTGGAAATCCATATGTAGCAAAAAGAAATTAAACCTCTATCTCTCACCCTGCACAAAAATCAACCCAAACCCTGGGCCTAATAGAAGAATAAGTAGGCCCAAATCTTCACTATTTTGGCCTAGGATCTGACTTTCTTAACAAGACTCCTAAAGCACAAGAAGTAAAAATCAATAATCAATACATGGAATGGATTCAAATTTAAAAGCTTCTTCTCAGCAAAGGAAACAATTAACGTGAAGAGAGAGCCCACAGATTGGGAGAAAATCTTTGTCACATGTACTTCTGATAAAGCATTAATCTCTAGGATATATAAAGAACTCAAAAAACACCAAAAATCAAATAACCCAATCAATAAGTGGGCTAAGGAACTGAACAGACCCTCCACAGAAGAAGAAATACAATTGATCAACAAATATATGAAAAAGTGTTCAACATCTCTGGCAATTAGAGAAATGCAAATCAAAACTACACTAATATTTCATCTCACTCCTGCCAGAATCATCAAGAATACAGGCGACAATAAGTATTGATGAGGATATGGGGAAAGAGGTACACTCATACATTGCTGGTTGGGACTGCAAATTGGTGCAACCACCATGGAAAGCAGAATAGAGATTCTTCAAAAAACTTGGAATGGAACTACCATTTTCCCCAGCTATCCCACTCCTCAGTTTCTACCCAAAGGACTTAAAGTCAGCATACTACAGTAATGCATCCACATCAATGTTTACAGGAGCTCAGTTCACAATAGCTAAACTATGGAACCAACATAGGTGTCCTTCAATAGATGAAAGGATAAAGAAAATGTGGTATACATATTCAATGGAATATTACTCAGCTTTAAAGGAGAGTGAAATTATGGGATTTGCCAGTAACTGGATGGAGTGGGAGAATATCATGCTTAGGAAAATGAGCCAATCCCAGAAGACCAGGGGCCAAATGTTTTCTCTAATATGCAGATGCTAATTCACAATAAGAGGGGGTGCGGCACTAGAGAAGAATAGCATCACTTTAGGTTAGGTAGAGGGAAATGAAGAGACAGGAGGGGAGGGGATGTAGGGATAGAAAAGACATTAAATGAAACAGACATCATTACTTTATGTATATATGTATCCTATCTGTGTATGATGTATCAAAGTGCATAAATGCATTCTACTGTCATGTATAACTAATTAAAACAAATAAAAAATTTATAAAGTAGAAAGCATTTAAGCTTCATTACTAAGTACAGAAAGYTAAGTGGGTTATATAAGTTAATGTATTTCTGTAGATGTGACACTAAGTCATTAAAAAACTTAAAACCACAACAAATTTATTCATAGTGCTAGGTTTAAATAATAGTTCCTTGACATTCCTATATGGTGTGCCTCTATTATGCTTAATTCCATCTCATAGAAAACACAGCCAAGTGGTTGCAATCCCTGGTGCATTGATTCCACCAGCAATGAATGCTTTTCATTTTAACTCAGCAGAGTTTATTTTTTCTTGTCATGTTTCAGGCTTTGGGGATTTGAACCTCCACGATCAGGTCCATCTTCTGGAATGTGCCTGGCTAGAGATCCTAATGATTGGTCTTGTCTGGCGCTCCATGGAGCACCCAGGGAAGCTACTGTTTGCTCCCAACTTGCTCCTGGACAGGTGAGTGACTTGGCTCTGTCTTAGGAGAAGCACATCCTTTATTTTCCTGGTTTATTCTTTCAGATATATATTTATATATATACATATATATATATATCTGCTGTTGGCTCTATGCATTCTTTTGGAAGTACTTGGAAGTACTATGTAGGCTCCTTATCTCAAAAATTCCACATCTCCATTACAAGTGTCACAATCCCAAATGTCTACAGAGCTAGTCAAATGATGTAAATGACGAAGGCTAGTGGGTGAGAGTCCAAAGAGGAGTGCTGAGGATTAGGTGACCTTGCCCAGGCTAAAGACATCTGCTGGCTGAACTTGAATAACCTCCCTTTAATTAAGACCTTTTTTGGTGCATGTATATCCAACCCACAACAGCCTTTTCATTTCCTCCCCCAATTTTCCTATCAATAAAATGAGGAAATTTGACAAGAGAGCTCTGAAAGCCACTTCCAGTTCTACAAATTCATTTCAGTTTTCAAATGCATTACCTTCTCTAATGTATTGTACTTTGGTTGCCTTGGAATGTGGGTCCTACTGTTTTTCTCTTTCGGTCACTGATTAGCGTAATGGGATTTATATGTCACTTAACAGCAGCTACTGGGGACAGTCACCACCCCACACCAGCTGCTGGCCTGAACCCTTTACATTTGTTATCTCATCCAATTGTCATAGAGCTCATAGGAGGCGGGGGCTTATCATCCATGTTATAGAGAAGGGAAGTCCAGGCTCAGAGACATCCCCCGGCTTGTAGTCAGCAGGAGCCAGTGGATGGTGGGTTGGCACTTGAACTCAAGGTCTTTCTGGCTCTGGCTCTATGGTTGGCTACTTTAGCTTGCTGTTTTCACGTGCACCTTGTCTTTCAAAGCTACAGGATGATTTGAGTGTGAAAGGACCATCTTCTTGTTTGTTGCAAACTTAGCCTCCATTTGCTTTGGAGAGCTGCACTGCCTCTCCAGGGTCGCCCTGCTCTGGGGCTCGCTCTACTCACCAAGCCCACTGGAGTGGAGTTACAGCAAAATTCAAATGTGAGAATATAGTGCAAGGCATTGTTTTGTCATGTTGTGTGTACCTAGCTTTTGAAAAACATTGTTGACACCACTCAAAAAGCAGATTTTGCTGTCCATGGACCATATTCTAGTATCACAATTTCAAAAACTTATTAAGAATGGCCGCTAGTCTTATTCCTTGGAACCATATGCATAACTGTTTCATACTGTATTCTCTCAGACTTTAGAGGATGTCTTTAGACTCCTCTCTCCTCCTCTCCCCTCCCCTCCCCTCCTTTCCTCTCCTCTCCTCTCCTCTCCTCTCCTCTCCCCTCCTCTCCTCTCCTTCTTTTCCTGGTCTTGTCATTTCCCCTCCCTATTTCATTTCTCTTTTACTTTTTTGCTATCTTCTTTCCTTCTTTCTTTTGCACCTGTCTCCTTTTTTGTATTAAATTTCTTGCCCTATAATAGTGTGGTTCTATATCAAATTTGCAGATGAAAATTTTAGACAATATATAATATCTCCCTCCTACATACCACAATGTGTCTTCACATTCATAGCTGAACTGATCTGCTCCATGATTTCCATCCTCCTTTATGTCTATCTTTATAGATTCAAAGTTGCTGAGAACAGTCATAAAATCATTGTATTTTGAATATGAAAGAGCCTCTGGCGTTACTTCAACCCACTGAACTCGTATTGCCGGTGAAGTGAAGTTGCCTAGGATTTGATTAGTCCCTGACTTTCTTTCCTTTGTACACATGTCTAAAGTGGTTAGTCTTCTCTCACATCTCCTACAGAAGGGTGAGGGGTTCAAAGTTCTCATCTGTATCTGGTCTACTCTCAAAAAATCTAGGTTAGAAGTTTCTATTACCTCTAGACTAAGATTCCTCCCCCTCTGCCCCGTTGATGTCCAGGRTAATTCTCTCATGCGGGCAGGGGATTATCTGTGCCTTGTAGAATATTTACATCACCCCTGGACTACTGCTAATTGCCAGTAGCATCCTCCCAGATATGGCAGCCAATACCATCTCCACACATTTCCATACCTCTACTGTGTGCAATGTGGGTGGCTGAGGCCAAATGATTGTGAACCTGGTTGAGAACCATAGCTACACACTCCTACTTCAATGTCTTACAAGCCCTTCAGACTCATCACATCTCAAAATGAAGAACTGATCTTCCTCATCAAGTCTGTTCCTTTCTTTTTCCTCTCTTAATGACATATTTACCTAGACCTTGGAGCTATAAAGTTTAAATGAAGGATGGATTCCACTTCCTCCTTCAAGAATACCCAGAATCCAAAGCTCCCTTGGTCTCCATTCTACTGCCTCAGCTCAGGTCCTGGTGGTCTCGTCCTCAGATGACTCACCTCCCTGACTGTCTCTCTTTATTGGCCCCCCACCCCTCTTTTTATCCTCCATAGTGATACCAGAAACTACTTCCCAAGGCACAGCTAGAAGCATGAAGCTTCTGGACTCAGCTACTGTTGGCTGTGTCCATTCTTTTGGAAGTACTATGTAGGCTCCTTATCTCAAAGATTGCACATCTCTATTACAAGTGTCACAATCCCAAATGTCTGCAGAGCYAGTCAAATGATGTAAATGACGAAGGCTAGGAGGTGAGAGTCCAAAGAGGAGTGCTGAGGATTAGGTGACCTTGCCCAGGCTAAAGACATCTGGTGGCTGAACTTGGCGTGAGAACTGTGAACACAACTTCACACACTGCTTCTGAGAGACCTTCCTCCTTGAGTTTCATGTCAGACACTTATGCATTCCATGAGGCTCAATCAGAAACTACTTTTCCATAAAACCTTCCTTCAAACTCTTCTCTTCAGACAGAAATTATCCTTTCCTCTGTCTACAATCTCATGTGTTTGAATTGGACTTCTCTCATCCTGCCAGATGTTAGCTATGGTTGTATTTCTTATCTTCCATACCAGCTCATAAACTTTTCAAGGTCCAGAACCAAATGTTATTTATCTTTGTGTCACCTCCAACATACAAAGTGTTCCATGATCCCCAATAAATGTTTGCTAACGGCACAGGCCAAGTCAACCAGGTAGCTCATAGCAGAATCAGAAGGAGGATCCACATCTTCTGATAACCATGTCATCTGTTATTGTCATCAAGTTTATTTTCTTGTTGTTCATCATTACTCATCAATTCCTGGCTTATTCCTTTATAAATTTTGCAGAATAAGTATCCATCTGTTATGGAAGGACTTTCTAAATGTATTAATGCATTTGACTTGTAACTATACTTCTGCTTATACTCCACAACCCTCTTTTACAACTTTTAAATTCTAAATGTGGATGAGCAAAATATTTTTCCCCCATAACTGGCCTCACTATGGAGTATAATTCTTAGTATTACTAAATTTAAGAATAATTGGGACCAGGGATGGTGGTGCATGCCTATAATCCCAGTGATTAGGTTACCTGAGACAGGAGGATCACAAGTTCAAGGACAGTCTGTGAAACTTAGCTAGACCCTGTCTCAAAAAAATAAAAGGAGATGAGGATGTAGCTCAGTGGTAAAGTGCAAAAAATAAAAGAAAGAAGGAAAGAAAAAGAATATTTAGGTACATGTTAATGATGATTAAAATGTATAAATAAATATAAAAGGTATATAGAAAATCATGTAAAATATAAACAGTAAGATATGATCTAGAATATAAAAAATTCTGTAGTCTTCTAATCATTAACATGCACATAAATATTATTMAATTTTAATATAATGTAAATTAACTTCTTAGTGTTTGAAGATAGCTGCTTTTGATGACATTGATAGGTAGAGAACATTAAAAAAAAAGTATTTCAATCAGCAGCCCATCTGAAACTTTATATGTGTGGAAGATGGCTTTTGAGTGGTGACTGAGAACAGGGTTCACATGGCTTTTTTCTATAAGCTCCCAACCCCTCTGATAGCACTGGACCCTCTGATTAGCACAAGTGGCCTCTATCTTCCCATTGCTCTTTTAGAGACATCCATAATTTTCAAAGCTCTGGGGTTGAGGGAGAGCTGGGAGGCAGAAGACAAATGTTGGCACCACCCTTTTTGTTCCATCTCAGGCTTTGATGCCACTTTGGAAAGGTCGACTGAGGTTGGCCATCTCCAAGGGTTGTTTTCATTTACGTAGCAATGGGAAAAGATCAAGCCTAAAGTCACAATGGCCCTTTAAACATGAGGGTCATCAATGCTACTAACTGGAGACAGAGTTTTATCTGTGATTAATTATACCAATGCCCTGTTTTCTCAGATCTTTCTTATGAATCTGGCATTTGTGTCTTACAAAGCCATCGGAAGGATAGACTACACCCCAGCCTTTTGTAATTACTCAAATGTTTGAATTGGCAAGTGGGGGGTTTGGTGAGCATGGGGCTATAAAACCTGCTGGATTGCCCTCCCTGCTATCTTGTGTCCTTTAGAAAAGAGTTATGGCTTGATTTACTCCCCGATGACAACTCAGGGTATCTTGATTCTGGTAGTTTATTATTTCCTGGTAGTCATATGCTTGAAGGCTAATTTTATCCTTACCCAGCTTAGCCTGCCCTCAATTTCCAGTTCTTTCCTATATCCTGCAGCAGTGAGGGCCCACCTCTTAACGTTGTCCTTGTCACTTCTTCCTATGAAAACCAAGAAGTAAAGGTTGTAATAAAATGTAAATAAAGAACCCAGCAATTTCTTTAGTAATTTTCCTTAGGCAGTGTGTGTGTGTGTGTGTGTGTGTGTGTGTGTGTGTGTGTGTTTTAGAAGAAGAAAGTTAAAGATAATAGAAATGCCTGTGAAAATAATCAAAAAATGGAGAAAACTCATTTTTTCATTCTAGCACCTAATCCTTTGGTGTGTGTTTGGCACTAGAAAACACAAAATATGCCCTCCGCGTCTACTAGGAATGAGCCTCTTCAGTTAGTCCTGCTTGAGTGCTCATACTAAAAATTACAGACCAAAAACTGGAGCGGAGGCACTCATCATGACTCATTTGTTGTGAGGTCTCTTCACTTTTGCAGA